TAATAAAAAATTAAATTTCCATTAATGAGAGTAAACTTCGACAATTTTCGACAGAAGATGGTTAACCTTTGGTATGAGCCAAGAATACTATCTGATCAAACATGACCCGGTCTGAAAAAAAAACCACGTTGAAGTGTTTTACTATATATTTTTTTGTTGTTAAAGCGGTTATCGATTCCCCGCTTAAGTGTACAGGTGTTTCAGGTTGGTCTAATCAAATTTGACCTGGACTGTTCTTGAGTTTTAATAAAAAAAAAATGTTGTTGATATTATTGTAGAGATTATCTAGACACACCTTAAATGATTAGGTGGTTCCACTTGATTGCTATCGAAAACATCAATATGTATGCTCAAGAAACGTAGATAGGGGTATGCCAAGTGGTGATTTAAGTCATGCAAGGACTCAGGCACGCTGGACATAGGAGTTTAACTGGATACAGTATTCAGAACGAAGTTGCATAAGGGTCACTCTAGATTATCGGAACTACTCGAGCTTTTCGTCTACAATAGGTAGTTACGCCATTCAGTGGGTGGCATTTCTTTGATGGTTCGAAGTCTTTTCGACATACTGTTCGATGTCGTTGATGTAAACGAGGAAAGACCTTTTAAGGTTCCAGAGAGGCCGAAGGCGGCCCCGCTTCAAATATAGGACTGCGGATATGCTTTCCGCGAAAACTGTTTAGAGAGGAGTTCAGTATGTTCCTCGGCCTCATAATGAAATGTTCGACTCAAGACATCAAGAGGCATCCTGAAATCGTTCGAAGTGCACTATTCTGAAACGTCTGAAATTTCTTTGTCTGCGTTTCATCCAGGCGCTGATATCGGTATAGCGAAACGTATGGCCGGTTGGCCGGTTGGCCGATTGCATTGCAATAATCGCGATCGTATGAAGAGTGAAGAAACACAGGCTGTCGGGTGCAACTCCTAAAATCGACTGTGATATATTATATATAAAGATCCAATCTGTACTTCTTCGTGAGTAAAAAATGACGGAAATTCCCTCTGACCGATGATGGAAATTTCAAATATAGGAATTAAACAGTAGCTGGGAGAGGACCCCATCCTCGAAGCTCCATGTTTAATTCTTCTAAACTTATAGTATTTTCTTCGAAACAATATGATTGATTGCCGACAGCTTAGGTAGTTCTTGGTATATCTCTTCAGCCCTTGACGGAGCATATATTTTAAAACAAATCTTTACTATAACCTTCAAAAAAGGCTCTCGACTATTTAGGAAGAAAATTCACAGTTTTTCAAAGACGTACGCTACAAGAGAAATTTTATTACTCGAAATATTACATACGAAAACAAACTTTCTTTACAAATAACCCTGAATCTATATGGACATAAAGCATACTAGCAAATTAGTATCATAATCACAATTTAAAAACATAACCTGAGGATGTACCTCGAGAAACTATTCATTCACTTTTTACTATCCAATCATTTGCGTTTACTTCTTGCCCTTCTTACCCTTCTTCTTGCCTTTTTTACCTTTCTTGCCCGGTTTATTGATCTTCGTACAGGCATCGATATCAGCCTCCTTCACCTGCACGCTCTTATTCGGCTTGGGCGGTGGTTGTGTGACCGGTTGCCTAGGCAGTATCAGCTCCATTTGCATATATTCACGGCGGGCACAAGGTCCAGCACGCTTACCTACCTCCACCAGGTATTTTTCGTACGGAATGTGATGTTTTACCATCTGCGGGGAGCGCAAGTATGCATAGGCCATTGTTTGGGTTTATTTTCTAGTTTCTTTGCTGTAATGACGTAGAAGAGGCTCAAGGTAAAGCGCTTTGATACACACATAAATTAAATATGAATTTTATATAGAGCTTGTTGGGAACGATTTCTACTAAAATTTAGTATTATTATTAATTTTATTCAGCGTTTAACACAGCGCGTTTAGATTGTCTTATTTTTTCTTTTTTTTTTTTTTTTGTTGTGTTTTTCGAAAATTGTCAAAAATTTCTTGAATGTAAGAAAAAATAAAAAACACAATTGAAGCATTTAGATTGGAGATCAATTCATCGAAAATAATCGGAGTTGGGTTTTGACACAAAATCTCTACAATGTAAATTGGAGAATTTTCTTAAATCGGCATTAAAATGTATAAAAGGAGTTTTTTATGAAGCTTTAACTATTCACTCTGTTTCTCGGGATAGATCTACGATTTCATTCCCCCCCTTAAGAGGATGTGTTTTTGGAGGTATTATGAGTTTTTCCGAATATTAAAATTGTTGTTAACCGTTTAATGATTCACGAAGCTAGGTTCCGAACTCATTGATCCAATTAGTTCAACAAAAGTGAAATTTTAATTTTAAACATTCAAATTTATAAAGAAATAAAGATTATATTCCGAAAACAGGACTCCCGGTTAAGTTAACAATGCATTGATCAGCGCTATGAAAATGACAGGCATTCTCAGTACCAATTGTCAGTTCTTCCCGCAAATAACAAATATCTATACGTATGGTTCCAAGCTAGTTAATCGAGYGAAGTAGTACCTTTCAGCAAAAGTAAATACCAGAATCGCCTTCGAACTACCAGACCACTGCAGTGTCTTCAAAGTGGAGATCAGAGCAATTAAAGCAAGCCTTCTTATTCTGAAAAAAMTGTGCTCACAACAACAAATATATTAATGTATACAGATCGACAAGCGGCTTTAAAATCACTAAAGACTTTTGSGGTTTCATCGAATATAGTGAAAGAATACCTTGAACTCTTAGGTGATCTAACATCCTATTTCACATAAGAAACAAATTAATTAATTTGAGTAACTAAACCTTCCAAGGTTTCATCGAAATTAATGTGAGAATGCCATGATCTTTCAATGGATCTGACATTCTTTTTCACAATAATTCTACAACGGGTTCCTGAGTATATGTATCTACCACTTTTTAGATATTTAATAGCTGAGTTTGACTGGAGTCAACCTCTAACGTGCGTAACAAGCAGACAAAAGTGGCATCAATAGAAAATGGGTCACACATGCCGACTATTAAAACTTAAAAGAAATGTTATAAGGTATCGAGTAGGACTGCTAACAGATCACTGGCTAATAGCCAGACACGGCTCTCAAGAGGTAGAAGTTGAAGAGACTATATAACATATTCTATGCGGATGGAAACCTTCGAATGAGTAGAGAATGAYAACTATAGGTCGAGGGTTTCTTGATGGTGATTCGGAGGTTACACAGATGATGCTGTGCATTGATAAATCTCATAAGAAKCACAGTGTTGTTCATGGAGAATATATTAGAGGGAGAGAATTTTAGTTGCGGTGATTTCACAATGAGCCATCTAAACTCTTAAGTGTGTCGGCAGACATCCACTCTAACTACCTACCAACATAACTGTCTTTGACCAGGTTGATTTTAATATAGATATCACAAACATGAAGCAAATTGTTGGAAAGATACTAAGTGAGTCTATAGAGATGAGAAGGTCATGCGATTCATTTTTTGCTGGTGAAAATCCMATCTTCAGGCATGTACATATATACAGCGAAGAGAAACGGATACTTTTTGTTGCTTCAATATTCTATATCTTATTCTAATATCATATCAAGGTCATTAGTATTATGTGGAATGGAAATTCTAACTCACTATCAGTATTGCCAAACTTTCTAAGTAGTGCTCTTATTACTTTGGCAGCGATTTTCATCCTTAAATTTTTTGCTCATATTAAACGATACATACAAAGTATTAAATGATCGTAATACTGAAAAGTCTATATAAAACCCTTATGATTAGCGTGGCTCGAGTACATAAATATTTTGCGAGTAAACACCACTTTTATTATTTAATTTACACCTCAACATGGCTAACGATCCTATAAACACTTTGCAGAAAAAAATAAAGTTCCAAAAAAAAATCGAGAAAAAGCTACAAGCTGAGCGAAGTGATCACATAGCCGTGAAAAGATCAACAGTTCGGCATTTTACTCGCTGGTAGGTAACAACAAATTGTAACTGACAGCGACCGCAAACGGCTTTAAAAGGTAAAGCGAAGCAAAGAGTGAACCAAAGAAAAAGAAAAATCATGCCGCATGCTACATTTAGCCGCAAGAAACTCGTTTCTGGTAGCGTTCGGCAACAAAATAAATAATAATAAGCTACACATGGTCGATATCCATAATAACTGTTGGCCAACGAAGAGCATGACGCTTAGAACACGATAGTAGCAAAGCTGGCAACAAAAGC